TTTATAAGTTAAATCACCAATATTTTAATAAAATTAAATATTTTATTTATATATTGTGCATTAAAATAGATATAATTTTATTAATACATATAGTTTCACCATGAGCATCTATGATTGCTATTTACTATCCAAACACTTTGATTATGAAGCATTAAATATGAGTTATAATGCCATCATAACATATGAATACCTTAATTTGCTGCCAAATTATGTTAGATTACATAATGACAATGAATACCATTGTGGACCTTTAATATCATTATTAAATCAATTGGCAATTGGGAAAATTTTATATTACTGATTATTTGTCAACAAATTGGATATAAGATGTATGCAATCGTTGGTAATTACACTGTGCTAAAATAGGTTTGTGGACCTTTAATATCATTATTAAATCAATTGGCAATTGGGAAAATTTTATATTACTGATTATTTGTCAACAAATTGGATATAAGATGTATGCAATCGTTGGTAATTACACTGTGCTAAAATAGGTTCTAGTACTACATTATTAAAAAATTAAAAAGTAACGAAATCAAATATATACTTCACATGATTTTGTTTCATATTTTTTAACAAATATTAAATATATAACTAATTAGGCCAACATTTGTTAATATCATGACAACATTGTAATTGAAAAACAGAAACTAATTTGTAACATTAAATATTTAATGATGCTGGCTAATTAAGTGAGAAAATAAAATTAATTATATTTACAAACATCATATTGTAAGTTTGTATTTGTAAATAAATATATATCTTTTATGAGATCATAAATAATTTAATTGTTTATGAGAAATAATATTACATAGAGGTTGACACCATAACCAGTGTGACCAACTCAAGGTTTTTAATTAGTGGACATTTTGATAAAGTAATTGAATAAATAGAGTACAAATAGAGGGCAGCATTTTTATAGTGGAATTGAATTACAATTTTTGAAAATATTTTTTCTGTTCATCTCTCTAACAGCAGATATTTTTGACTGGTTTTGTCATTTGTTTTTTACATATATTCCTATAAATTTGCTGCACTTAAATATAATTTAGTTAAGTAAAAATGTATTTTATTATGATTATAATGTGAAATGCTATTTACATAATAGTCTTATGCTGCAATTATTTTTATAAATAAGGCATTTAATAATTTTTACAAATAAAGGACATTCAGTGTCCACTATTTTTCTTTTCAAACACTGAGGACAGCCACCCTATATAAAAAACTGTCCTCTCCGATAGTGGACGGTTGGTCACACTGATCATAACATATAAATAAAAATCATATAAATTGTATACACTTCTTTTATAAATAATCAATTGTAAATATTGTATGCTTCATTATATTGTATCGCAAATATTAATTTTATATAATTAGGTCACAATTTTATATGTATTTCATTGTACATTATAACCGGGTTTACATAATAAAGTAATCAATGATATTGCGTCATTAATTATCTCAATTATTAATAATTAATTAAATTACTTTCATAAGTATAACATTATTTAATTTAAAACAATATTCATGCGAGTTGGTACGGGAACTAGCAAATTAACCTAAAAACCAATTGACCTAAACTTAAATAACTTAATGACTTTATAGTAATTAAATCTATTTTTGCCAATTTTTCATAATAGTAATAAACTTTATGAAATTAAAAAATAAAATATACTAATTTATATTAGCTTTTAAAGTTATAGCATTAATACAGAATTTATATTGCATAATGTGGTTTATTAATTTTATTAAAAGTATAATAAATTAATAATATAATACTCTTTTAATAGATTATGATAATTATTCTATAATTGTGTGTTTAATTTCAGGCTACAAATAATTATAGATATAGATAGACATATAATCCATGTTTAAAATAATCCGGACCTTTGTCACAATGATATTATATCATATTATATCATTATATGATATTATATTTGTCACTATTATATAACAATAGGCAATTAAAATATTTATTGTTAAGAGCAATATACAAATACTATGATATAATAAATAGTCAAATTCTATAATAGTAGTTAGACATATTTAACTAATTATTGAAATTAATAATAAGCATAATGTATCAGTAATTAAAAAATAAAAATTATTAATATAATAATGACTTTCAACTTATTGTATTAATAGAGAATTTATATTTCTTACAATGCAAAACGGCAAGTGTTACCGCTAATTGCAATTAAAACCGAGTGAATTATACTCGTATGGTATGGTGTAATAAAATTATCCAGGTCCGGTAATCTAGCGGAATGTCTTAAGTGACCAAATCGGTGATTATATTAGGGACGCGTTATAAAAACTCTATACATTTTTGCATTTAAATACATTCATTCCTAGTATTGTAACTCTGACTCGTACAATAATACTACGCTATCATTATGAGGCATGAATTTCACTGTTAAGCATATTGGGGTAATGTTTATGTCAATTCATGCACTGAATCTCACTATAGTGTTCGCAAAACTGTAAACTTTTTGCAAACTTTTGCATTCAGTATTGTATTGATTGCGAGTATAAGTGTTGAGAGAATTGGTTTGAATTGAGTTGTAATTGAATTGAAGAATAAATACTTTGAACGCATTATTCGTTGAATCAGTCATTCATTCATACATTGAGTCCTACAATGAGTTTCACTCGCAATCGTTTGGACAGATTCTCACCATTAGGTGATCCCAGTTTGTCCACAATTGCTGTGAAAAACCATTGAATACATTGTCACCGAAAATGAGTTACCATTTGATGCCATCGGAGATCGCGCGACTCGTATTAGGTATGACTTCTTGAGGCTATCACTCGAGCATTTCCCGCACACTACTTACCACTCATTATCTCATTGTCTATGCGATGGATATAATGTCTAACGTCTGGAGCGCAAGCAGTTTGATACCAGCTATGGCCGCAAGTTTGACCAGACGGTGATATCCAGCAACTATCACCTCGAAGTCAATCTGTCAGACTCCGGGCTCTCGACCGACTAGTGGTCCAGCAGTTGATCAAAGAGTTGTCCACGAGTTCAGCGCTCACTGAGAAACACGCGTTATATGCGAAGGATATCTTAAGGAAAGCCAATGCATTGAAACCGAGAAGCAGTTCCTGAAGGAAAGCAAACATCTGACGGAATACGCCATCGGCTTAAGACACGGATTCAATTACTCGACGAATATCAACGGCAAGTCCCTCTTGGATATCATCAACTCATGCCATGAGAGCGACACCAACGCCGCCGCCAAAGACCGGCACAAGAAGTCACCGACGGATGAGTTGAGACGACTGTCTCAGCAGTTGTTGAAAGTGGAGACACTTCTGAACAGATTATCGCAAACTGTGACCAAATAGTGGTAATCAATGCCAATACAGAAGTCGAGTCCGCTGTTTGTCAATCCGATTGGTGTGAACGCGTTGCCGATCGTCGACAACCAAACGCCCCACAAGACTACTGTCCCCTCCGGAAGGGATGGCATATTCAGGACTCTCCCCATAAGTGACGCAATTAGTCCGCGCAACTACGCCTCATGAGCACCGGTAGCACACCGTTGAAGCAGCAGTAGATGAACGAGCCCTGCGATCAGACACTGGTTAACACATCCAGCGATCAGTTGGCCGATGGAAGCGAACCGCTGCTGAAGATCGATATGAACGAGCCGTTGGTACGGCCGGAGTTCATTGTCGGGGAACTCATAAACTTCGAGCCATTGCAGGAAGTGTTGGTCAGTTCTCCGAACACTTTGAGTGCTAATTGCGTTATTTTATTATTTGTTTAAATTTGTTTTATACGATTAGTGTTTAAAATTGCATTTAATTATACGTTAACATATTAAATCAGATTTCCGTTATCGTCTAAAATCATTTTGCTTTTTAATTTGTGTACCACGTGTTGACCACCTGTTAATATCGCAAGTTTGAGACGTTTGACAAATGAATTGCTAGTGTTTGACAGCATTTGAGGTGTAATTAATTTGTATGACCTACAGATTGATTCCTTCAACTCATTTTTCCCATTTATTGGCACTTTATATGTCTCGTCTGTAATTATAAGTCAGTTACTGTTCCTTATATGTTGAATATTAACTTACTTTCAACAAAGCCCCAAACAAAGAAGTCCAGTGAATTAATGTCTAGTGATCGAGCCGGACATCCGTACAATGGGCTGCCCTTACCTATCCACCGCATCGGGAAATGCTTATTAAGCCACTCCCTGGCCTCCAGTGATTAATGTGCAGACGCGCCATCTAAGACAAATAAAATGTTATCAAAGTTCGGCAACTCTGATAATTGGGAGAACCTTAAAATTTATAAAAAATTGTTATAGTTGTAAATTTGAATAATACTCTTATAATTTCTTAATTGACTGTCCATCATTTTGGTGAAGGAGTTACCAGAAACATCGTCGAAGAACAGAGGGCCTATGATTTGGTCGCCAAAAACTCCTGCCCATACCATCACTCGTTCACCACTCATACTTTGATTGGGCTCAATCCAATTAGGGTTTTTCTGAGCCCAACAACGATTGGTTTGTCGATTGAATTTTCCGTTCTCATAGAAAATCTTTTCATCACAAATCAAATGTAATGAAACAAATTGTGGGTTTGAGTTGACTTGCGTTAGAGCCCACTCTGCAAACTTGTATCTCTTTTTAAAGTCTGGTTCTGTAATTTAAAAATATAAAAATCAGTTACGTTTCATTAGATGTTGAATAATTATAAATACCTTTTAGCACTTGAACATTTCGCACTTTGTATGGAAAATATTGCCGACTTTTCAATATTTTGTATACTGAAGAACCACTTATTCCACACTTTGCACCAACTAGCTATTCCACGGACTAAGGCCACGGATCAGCTCGCAGCTAACACTTACCATTTTAATCAAAATGTGTTCATTAATTACCGCTTAATCATAATTTGTATTGATTTAGTATTTATTTCATTAAAACCACATTTTTTATCAAAAGCAATACTGAATGCAAGTTTGCAAAAAGTTTACAGTTTTGCGTACACTATAGTGAGATTCAGTGCATGAATTGACGTAAACATTGCCCCAATATGCTTAACAGTGAAAAAACTCTATCCTTAATGGTAAATACATAGTAGTGTATAGTATGAGTAGCTCAATAGGATTTTATATCAAAAATGTATAGAGATTTTATAGCGCGTCCCTAATATAATCACCGATTTGGACACCTAAGACATTCAGCTAAATTACAGGACCTGGATAGTTTTATTGCACCATACGACTATAATTCACGCGGTTTTAA